TCAGGCCTGCAACATCCGCCCACCCCCCGCACCCCCCCACCCCCAAAACCCCCTTCCCCAGCAAAATGCCCGCCTCAACCCCCCATCCCTCCCACCCCCCCACCACCTCCCGCGCCCTGCTCCCGCACCTCCCACCGACGCTAACCGTCCCCGTCTACGTCCGCCACACCCCGTTCCCCTTCCCCTCGCACCGCCGTCTGCTGCAGCTGCGCGCCAACATCCTGCTGCTGCTGCCCGACGCCCACCACACCAGCCCGCGCGACGCCCGCATCCTCCCGCTGCCGACCCTGCCCACCGCGCACGGCCGCCGCGACCTCGTCCTCCCAGGCGGCCTGCATCTCCACTTTCTGTCCGCCCCCGCCCGCGACTCCTTCCTCGCCGCCATCCGCGACGCCCGCCACCACGTCCCCCACCACCGCGACTACGTCCCGCTCCGCCGCCTCGGCTCCGGCGCCTCGGGCTCGGTCTACCTCGTCCGCGCACAGCGCACCGGCGTACACTACGCCCTCAAGGCCATCCCCAAGCCGCTCATGCGCTCGCACATCCGCATCGCACACCTCATCGAGGAGCGCCTCGCCCTCGCGCGCGCCGCGCACCACCGCGCCGCCTGCATCATCCGCCTCGTCGACGCCTTCGAGACGCAAGGCCACTTCTGCTTCGTCACCCAGCTGGCCGCCTTCGGCGACCTGCGCGCCATCCTCAAGCAGCTGCCGCACTCGCGCCTCGACGAGCACCTCGCCCGCCGCATGTTCGCCGACATCCTCCTCGCGCTCGAGGAGTGCCACCGCATGGCCTTCCTGTTCCGCGACATGAAGCTCGCCAACCTCGTGCTGGACGCGTCCGGCCACGTGCGCCTCGCCGACTTTGGCCTCGCCAAGCGCATGCGCGTGGAACTGCAGCCCGGGTACGACCAGCCGCAGCACCACCCGGAGGAGGACGACGACTACATGCACGACGAGGAGGCGTTCCGCCTCGTGGGCACGGCGTCGTCCTTTGTCGGCACGCGGCGCTACATGTCGCCCGAGCAGGTGAAGACGGGCATGTCGAGCGTGGTCGGGTACGGGGCCCCGGCAGATATCTGGGGGCTCGGGGTGTGCCTATACGTGATCCTGACGGGCCAGTACCCGTTCGGGCGGGCGGCGTCCACGAATGGGGCGTCCGAGCTGTACTTTGCGATCCAGTACGAGGAGATCAAGTTCCCGGACTACCTGAGCGAGGATGCGGTGAGTCTGCTCAAGGGGATGCTGCACCGGGACGTGCGGCGGCGCGTGGACATCAGCGGGATCAAGAGCCACGCGTGGCTACAGGGCGTGGACTGGGGCGTGGTCAAGGACGAGGCGCGGCGGTCCGTGCCGCAGAAGGGGCTCCTCGAGCACCTGGAGAAGAACGCGGTGCGCCCCATCATCGACGAGGCGTGGGAGCACGGGTCCAGCGACTCGTCCGCGTCCTCGTCCGCGTCGGACCCGGTCGAGGCCGAGGCCAAGCACATCACGGATGTCGGCGACGACTGCAGGCTACTCGGCTTTGGCTACTGCCCGCAGACCAAGATGGCGGTCTAGCCGGCGCGTGCCCCCCCCCCCCCC